GTAAAAAAAATCGATAAAATATATATTTTTTTAAAAACGTTTCTTACATTCTGCTATATTGGCTGGGTCGAAAAAATATTCATTGTAGGTTGCATGCGGCCCGCCACTATACTGTATATTACATCCCCATGACATTTTATTTTATTTTATAACTGGAAGCTTGTACAACAATTTTATAAACCCCCACCCCCCCACCCTTTGCCCTCAACAATTCTACCAATTAGTCTCTGTATCTGTGAGCTTGGTTTTTGTTGTTTTTTAAAAAGCAGTTTATTCCTTTTTATTTATTTTTATTTTTATTTGTTTTAATATATTTTATTGGTTTTTTACAGAGAGGAAGGGAGAGGGATAAAGAGCTAGAAACGTCGATGAGAGAGAAACATCGACCAGCTGCCTCTTGCATGCCTCCTACTGGGGATGTGCCCGCAACCAATGTACATGCCCTTGACTGGAATGGAACCCGGGACCTTTCAGTCCGCAGACCGATGCTCTACCACTGAGCCAAACCGGTTTTGGCAGTTTATTCATTTTTAGAAAGAGAGGAAGGTAGAAGAGAGAAACATCTATGTGAGAGCACAACATGGATCAGGGATCGAGTCAGCAACCCAAGCGTGTGCCCTAACAGGAACTGAACCAGCAACCTGGTGGTGCATGCGAGGATGTCCAATCAATTGGGCTATACCAATGAAGGATGTTGTTTTAGCTTTTTCAGGAACTGCCATACTGTTTTTCCATTCCCTTTTCTCCACATTTTTGCCCATACTTGTTTTTATCTTTTCTATAATAGTCATCTGACAGCCAAAACCGGTTTGGCTCAGTGGATAGAGCATTAGCCTGCGAACTGAAGGGTCCCGGGTTCCATTCTGGTCAAGGACACATACCTTGGTCACGGGCACATCCCCAGTAGAAGGTGTGCAAGAGGCAGCTGATTGATGATTCTCTGTCATCGATCTCTTTATCCCTCTCTCTTCCTTTCTGTAAAAAAAAATAAATAAAATATATATATATTTTTAAAAATAGTCATCTGACAGATGTGAGGTGATAACTCATTGTGGTTCTAATTTACATTTTGCTTATAATTAGTGATGTTAAGCTTCTTTTCATGTACCTGTTGGCCATCTATATGTCTTCTTTGAAAAAATATCTATTTAGATCATCTGCCCATTTAACCAAACACAACAAACTACACACACACACACACACACACACATATATATATATATATATATATATATATATATATATGATTTCATAGAGGAAGGGAGAGGAAGAGAGACAGAACAACAATGAGAATCATTGATTAGCTGCCTCCTGCATGCCCCCTACTGAGGATCCAGCCCACAACTCAGGCATGTACCCGGATTGGAAATGGAACTGTGATCTCTTAGTTCCTAGGTTGACACTGAGCCATACTGGCAGGATCCTGCCCTTTTTTTTTTTTTTTTTTTTAATCCTCATCTGAGGATATTTTTCCATTGATTTTCATAGAGTGGGAGGGAGAGGGGAAGACATAGAGAAATATTGATGTGCGAGAAACACATCCATTGGTTGTCTCTTGCACATGTCCTGACCAGAGCCTGGGCCCAGGAGGAGCCTGTAACCAAGGCACATGCCCTTAACTGGAATCGAACCCAGGACCCTTTGGTCTGCAGCCAAACCAGCTAGGGCCCATTTTTTAATTAAATTGTTTTGTTTTGCTATTAAGTTGCATGTGTTCTTTATATATTTTGGATATTAATTCCTTATCAGATATGTGATTTGCAAATACTTCCTCCCATCCCCTGGGTTGCCTTTTCTTTTAGTTGATGGTTTTGTTTACCGTGCAGAGCTTTTTAGTTTCATCTAGTCCCACTTTTTATTTTTGCTTTTGTTGCCTTGACTTTTGGAGTCAGCTCCAAAAAAACTACTGTCTAGACACTAAGACTGATGTCAAGGAATTTACTGGTTATGTTTCTTGTAGGAGTTTTATGGTTTTAGGTCTTATATCTCTAAGTCTTTAATCCATTTTGGTGTAATTTTTGTGTATGGCATAAGATAGTCTAGTTTTATTATTTTGCATGTCCAGGTTTCCCAATGTCCTTTCCCCACCATATATTCCTGGTTCCTGCGCTGTAAATTTATTTCTAGGCTCTCTTTGGTTCCATCGACGTGTTTATGCCAATGCTCTACTATTTTGATTACTATAACTATTTAATATAGTTTATAATCAGGAGTATGATGACTCCAGCTTTGTCCTTTTTTTCCTCAAGATTGTTTTGGCTATTCTGGGTCTTTTGTAGGCCCATATAAATTTCAGATTGTTGTTATATTTCTTTGGAAAATGCCATTGGAATAGTGATAGGGATTGCACTGAATCTGTAGATTGCTTTGGTAGGATGGACATTTTAACAATATTCTTCCACTCATTAACATATTCAGACCTGTAAAGAATTTTTGTGAGTTTATTTGAGCCAAACTGTCAACAATCGCTGGGAAGCAGAATCTCAAGGGATTGGGATAATGCTCTAGAGAGTGACAGCTTTTCAATATTTGTTGTTTTGTTTACTTTATTGACTTTTTACAGAGAGGAAGAGGAATAGAGAGTTAGAAACACTGATGAGAGAGAATCATCAATCAGCTGCCTCTTGCACACCCTCTACTGGGGATGTGCCTGAAACCAAGGTAAGTGCCCTTGACAGGAATAGAACCTGGAACCTTTCAGTCCGCAGGCCAACGCTCTGCTCTATCCACCGAGCCAAACCAGTTTCGGCTTTTCAATATTTTTATACATTGCAATTAAAGGAGGAGATTTAGGTGGATCACATAAAATCCATTGGTGATAGTAATCAAATAGGGAAGTGGAAGAAAGCAAAAGGTGGGGGGAACCTTTGGGATTAGACACTTACTTAGATGGGTACAGGATAGTTAATAGTCTACAATTAACAAGATAACAATAACAATGAAAGAATTTGTGGTATCTATCCTGGCGCCCAGACAATTGGTTGTGCCTTGAGGGGTCTGGAAAAAAAGGGAAGTTACAAGTCACCCAGACATTTCAATGATAGGTTATCGTAGATGCAAAAAGACAATAACCACAGTTAAAGTAAAAGTTGACCTTGTCAGGGAAGATACTAGCCTAGGTGGTGACTACCCACCATAACTGCTTTTAATTAAAGTTTAATTTCATACCATCCTTGTGGTGTGGTTACTTTAGGTCTTCGAGTCTCCAAGATTGCCATACAGGCCTTCCCAGAGCCTGTCAGGTCAGCATGTGGCCCCTTTCGTCCACACAATCCATGAGCACAGAATATCTTTCCATTTATTTGTATCTTTTATTGATTGATTGGTTAACTCTTTATAGTTGAAAGTATTACATAGGTCCTCCTCTATCCCCCACTAACCTCTTCCAGCCCGTTCCTGTCCTCCCCGCTCCCTTTCTTCTGTTTATTTTAATCAATATCTTATTGCCTTTCACATCTTTGGTTAAATTAATTCCTAGGTGTTTTATTCTTTTTTATGCAATTATAAGTGATATTGTCTTCTTAATTCCTCTTCCTGATATCCCATTAGTAGTATATTGAAGTGCAATTTAATTTTGTGTATTGATTTTATATCCTATAACTTTACTAAATCTGTTGATTAGCTCTAACAGTTTTTTGGTGGTCTTTAGTGGGATTTTCTACACATGATATGATGTGATCTACAAATAGTGACAGTTTTACTGTTTGTTTTCCAATTTGGATGCCTTTTATTTTTTTTTCTTGCATAATTGCTCTGTCTATGGCTTCCATTGGGTGTGTGTTTTTGACAAATATGTTTGTGACCGTCATTCACTTCTTCATTGCACAAATGTTTAATGAGTGTCTATTATGTAACAGTCCTGGGGGAACATGTCATTGAACAATCCAGACTCCCCACCCACAAGCTGTCATCTTAATGTTGTATAGTGTAGTAGAGATATATAGTATATTGGGGGGAAAAAATGTAGTGCTAGGAGGAAAATAGGGCCAACAAGGAGGATAAGGAGGGCAGGTATGAGAGTGTGTGTGTGTGTGTGTGGAGGGTGATGTGTGCAACTCTAAGTAGGCCTGTATCGAAGTTATTTCCCGTAGTTATAGTGTGTGTAGCTGAGGTAGGGCTAAGGGAGGGGGCCTTGCACAGCGCTGTCCAGACTGCTCCTCCCCCCACCTAAGGAAACCCCTCCCCCAAGGGTCTCACAACAGGGCACCTGAGAATGGGGCCAAATGGAGAAGCCACGCCTTTGCGGCTGGGTTGGTTCCTGATATCCTGATTCTTGGCAGTTAGTTTCTCCGGTCCCTTTCTGACCCCCTTTTCCCAGGCTTATAATTAATAGCAAGGTGGGGCACACACTGAATGACAGTGAAAATGACAGGAGTCACCACTTCCTGACCCCAGCCATGAGGTCCACACTCATTTTAACACACACCAGTGCTAGGAACACATGCGAGTCCCAGACACCCCTATCGCTCCCGCACTGGGCACCGGGGATCGCAGTGAGCCAAGAAGCGCACCTCCTGTGGCTCCCGCGGCTACGGGGCGGGGCGGGGGCGGGCGCGGGGCGTGGCCCCTAGTCGCCCCGCCCCCGGGGGCCTGGCGCGGGCGGGAGGGGAGCGCCGGGCGCTGATTAAAGCGGCGCGCGGAGGCGGGCGCAGCGCACACGGCTGTAGCGCGCGGAGGGCAGCCCACGTGTCTCCCCAAGTCGGGCCCCCGAGTTCCCCCCCAGCTCCTCTCCCCGCCGCGATCCGGAGCGCTCCCTCGGGCCCCTTTGGTGTGCGCCCATCGGGGCCCGCGCGGGCACGGCCCCCCGCACCGTGTCCCGCGCGCGCAGGGGGCCAACTTGGAGAAGCTACTTTGTGCCGGGCGCCGCGCTGGGGGTTCGGGGCACTGCGCATGCGGAGCTCCAAATTCAAACAGCTGTTTCCAGAGGCCGGAGGGCGGGGGGACCGGGAGCCGCTGGGGCTTAGGGGACGAGCTCGCCCGGAGGTGGCCGCTCGGGAGCCATGGTGGACCGGGGCCCTCTGCTCACCTCGGCCATCATCTTCTACCTGGCCATCGGGGCGGCGATCTTCGAGGTGCTGGAGGAGCCGCACTGGAAGGAGGCGAAGAAGAAGTACTACACGGAGAAGCTGCATCTGCTCACCAAGTTCCCATGCCTGAGCCAGGAGGGCCTGGACGAGATCCTGCAGGTGAGGCGGGCGCCGCTCGGCCCCCGGTGCGCGCACCTGACGCCGGCCAGGCCTCCGGGAGCGAGGCTCTGGGGGCTCCCCGGTCCCCGTGGGTTGTCCTGGGGGTGACAGGAAGGGGTGCCTCATCGTGGATTCTGTTGCCGGGAGTCTTTCGTTCACCCGCGGACACAGGAGTCCCCCTGGGAACCCAGTGTGTCCGGAGGAGGGTTTAGGGTTGACCTCCGGGTGCACCGGGCTCGCGCTGGGGGGGCGCGGGTCCCCCCCTCCTGGGAGGGAGGCTGTGAGACGGAGAGAAGCGTTTATCTTTCCGTGGAGGAGACGCTCCCGGAGTTGGGGAGCCCAGCCGGTTGGTTGTCACCCGCCCAGCGTCTGTCTGCACCTCCTCCCCGCTCCGGGGCCAGCGCCGCTCCCGCACGACTTTTTTTTTTTTTTTTTTCGGGAATGGGAGCCTCGAGAAGTTGCTGGAGGGGTCCCCAGGTCCAGCCCGAGAAGACCCCCTTCCCCCTGGGGCGAGGAGTGAGGTTAGGGCTCTGCCCCGCGGAGCCGCGGGGACGGCCGGCGGCTGGAATGCTGCAGACGCGCTCGGCTTCCGGGAGAGCTTATCGCGCCGGCTCGCCTGTCGGGAAGGCTAACGCCAAGGGCTCGTGGTTAAACTTGGTGAAAGTTGTGGGCTGCACAAAAGAACCAAACCCGGGAGTCCGTGGGGGGGGGAGGGGGGGTGGAGGGACCGGGAGGAGAGGCTGTGCGAATGGGAGGTGATGGGGAGAGCTGCTCGCCCCTGTTGGCATTGGGAGTGTCTCCTGGTTCACATGCCCCATGACATGAGGGCATTGACCTTGCTGGGCTAAACCGACCCTTGGCCAGGACTCAGGCCCTCTGCTCAGTTTCCCGAATTCTCTCAGCCTCACCTGTCCCACCTGGGCCTGCCCTGGTTGCATCCTGCAGTGGATGGCCCGGACCTGAGGAGGAGCCCTGGAGTAGGAATAGTGGGTCCAAGATGTTACCTTTCTCCCGGGCTGGAAGATACCAGAAAGGAGGTTTGATGAGGAGAGCAGAATTTCATCTACAGCAGTCCCCCAGTGCTTGGTGCCTGTCTGGTTGTCTCGTGCTTCCGGCCTCGGTTTCCTTTTATGTAAAATGGGCACAAACCCGTTTTTCACCCGTCTTTCCTGCCCTGAACGGTTGGACGGTTGAAAGCATTGGGAAGCATGAAGCCATCTGCTTGTGGCTCCCTGTTTGCCCCCAAATCAATAGCGGTTCCAGCCGGCCAGACCGGCAGACTTGTGCTCCGGGGACCACTGGAAGGGGGAGGCTTAGGTTAGCAGGTTGGGTGTTCGTTTTCAAGGGGGGGGGGGTTCTTGGGGTGGGGGCCGGTGGGCAGTGAGGTTGGAGAAGGAAGGTGAGCTTTGGGAGGTAGCCCACACTAGTGGGAGTCCCGAGTTGGAGGGGGAGATTGTGGGTTCCTTTGGCTGGGTGTTTGGCCCGGGGCATGGGTTGGGAAGGGGTCACTTTATAATTTCCCCTGAGGAAACAATCCTTCTGTTGTTTAGCTTCTTGCAGGGCTTTGTTTAGAGGGGAAGAAGGCAGGCGAGGATGATAATAAAGAATCGAGCTGCCCGCGAAGTTTCCTCCTTCGCAGCTCCTCCACCAACCGCTGCAGGAAGGAAAGAATTCAAGGCTGAATGTGGGAAAATAAACTTCAAAACACGAGGCGAAGGGGAAAGAGGGGGGTCGGGGTGAGGCAGCCGGGTGCAGCTGGTGGTAGGCGCTTTGGAGTGTAAGACGGCTTTCTTAAGGTGTTTGAGCAAACAACGTGTTTCTTAATCGGAGGTGCTGTTCCCCCCTCTTCCTCATCGCCTCCAAGAAGGCAGGTAACTGTTAGAAAAAGGATTTGGGCTTCCGGCCAGTGCGATTTGGAGATAATTACGGATAGCCCTGTCCCTGTCTGCAGCCAAAAAACTCTCAAACTATCTCCAACTGGGCGAGTCTCCTCCCTTCGTAGGAAAAATCCAAGAAATGAAAACCAGTGGAAGCATTTTGTTAGCGTTACTTTTTCAGTCTCCAGAAAGTCTGCCAGGCTCGCTCTCTGATGCGACTTGGGGCCTTGCCCTTGGCCTCAGGAAATTGGTTTAAGGAAAAATGAAAACGCAGAATCTTTCCAGTGGGGCTGTTGGGGCATTTTCCACCTGAGGCTCTGAATCACCTTTGTCATTCTGAGGAAGCCCCGGCTGGGAATTCCTGGGGTGGGGGCCGGCTCCTGGGTGGGGTGGAGGGAAGGGTGTGGGGGTAGTGCCGTGTGGGATGGGGTTTTTCTCACACTGGAAGCCGTGCTTTCAAACGCGTGAGAAAGGGAGTTTACACACACCTCTCTGGGTCTTTGGAAATGGCCCCTGCGTTGCCAGGTGCTTCCTCGCCGTCCAGGCTGCGGTTGAACAGGCGGCGGCTGGCTTTCAGACGCTCTGCATCCCACCAGCCTCACGCCACGTGGCCGCCCTCCTTCCTGCTTCTGAGCCATCTCGACCCTCTGCTGTGCCGCTGGCTGCACCAGGCATGGGGCGAACCCTGTCTCCCAGCCTTTCCCTAAATTGCAGGAGTTCCCATGAGGGGAATTGGCACAGACCGAGCCCCTGGTGCGCATTGTGGGTAGCAGCAGCAGCACTTGATGAGAGGGGCACAGTCTGGTTTTGCCATCTGGCTTGGCCATGGACCCATCAAGCCGTTTAAGTTCCTTGTCTGCAACATGAGGTCCGGTAAGGGTCAAGTCAAGCAGAAGCATTCGGCCAGATGTGTGCAGATGTAACTTAGCAGAGCGAGCCCACCTCCCGTCACTTGCGCGTATGGAGCACGGACCAGGACCAAGTCCTCCCCTGTACCAGGGCAGGTACTCCTTACAGCGGCCTTTCCTATTTCGATAAGGACATCGACGCTCAGAGAAGTTCAAGTGGCTTTGGTGGCACAGCAAGAAGGCACAGCCTGGGGTGGGCACCAGCTGTCTTGCCTCCTGGTGCCCCCCTGCCCCCCATCTTGGGCATGTGACGCCATCGAGTGGTTGGTCTGTAAGTGAGTTTAGTAAATTGGTTCAGCTGGACGCTGGTGTGCTGGGAAATTCTATTTTCTGTTCCCCCAGGAACAGGCACCTGCCCGCAGGCTTCTCCGAGCGCTGCCTGCCTGTCCAGCTGCCCCCTCCTCCGTGACTGAAGGGAGCACCGGTCCCCAGTCCCCCGCACCCCACTCCCAGGAAACCGCTGAGGATCGGGATAAGGGGGGAGAAGGAACCTCCTTCTCAGCCCTCGCCTCCGGTGTGCAGTGAACACAAACAGGAAGGATATCAGAGCTCACCAACCGCCAGGGCCTTGGTGGAGCACTTCATGTACAGTCTTATTTTAATCTGATCGGGGTGACCCACCCCCCTTTTATAGGTGAGGACAATGAGGCTTAAAAAAAAAAAATTATATAACTTGCCCAGGATCCTATAGTGCAAACTCAGAAAGGGTGTTGTATTCCAAAGTGCATGGGAATTAGTCAGCGGGCATTTATGGAGTACCCGCTGTGTACCATGCAGTGAGTAAGGTGCCAGGAGTCCAAAGGTGAATGAAATCACGGCTCTAGCTGGAGATAAGAATGAATAAACCGGAGATGTTCAGGGGAGACTCTTAAAGAGGGCCCCTCGTCCAGCCTGCGGGGTCAGGGAGGGCTCCCGGAGGAGGTGACCTCAAGCCAGAGTGGGGTCTTAGAATTAGGGGGACTCAGAAGGGGAAAGAGGGTGGGGTGTTGCTTTGGGCTGTGGCTCTTGGGATTCCTGTTTCCTGGGTATGGTTGGGATCACCCCAGGCCCTGCCCTACCTCTGGGTTTTCCTAGATTGCTCACATAGATGCCCAGTTCCCAGAAGCCTCTTGGGTTTCGCTGGCCTCCTTGCTGCTAAGCTGCAAACTGCATTATTCTATTGGGAGGTTTTTCCATGTGTCCCGGACCTCTCTCCTTTTATTTTCCGGACCTTCCTACTCTACAGGGGGGAGGCCCATTCCAGTGTTGAGGTTCTGCTATCCTGTTATTAACACCAACCCTCCTCCTAAAATGTGAAAAAAACATAGCTGCGCGGTAAAATTACATCCCACCAGAGTGCACAGAATGGGGCACATTCATTGGATCTTTTGGGGAACTGAGGGTTAACATGAAAACCTCTTTTGTGTCAAGCCTGGTTGGAAATTGTAAAAGTGCACTGGTCCACGTAAATGCCTTTGTAAGTGCAGGGAGCACAATGGATCTTTTGATTGTCCAGGATCGCGGAGGCCTCCGCGTCATTGGCTCACACTTGAACTCTGACCTTCTGGGACTGCGGAATGAAAGGTTTGGGAGAGGGATTGGAAGAAAAGCGTCCCATTCTAAAAGGCTCGTTTTCTTGTTAATGTTTTTGCTCAAAGACCAGGCAGCCACAAAAAAAAAAAAAAAATTTCCACCCTCAAATTGATAAATCCACCTTAGTTAACTGCTTTAGTTAGAGTTTTAATAGTAAAGTGAATTTTTATTGAATCGTTTTGAGAGTTTTACTAGGGCCCTAAGGACGATTAAAGATGGCACGGTAATAGAGACTCAATTGAGGGTAGAAATTAGCAAGTGTTGAAATGTTGTGGGGGTGGGGACTCCCTATTGGAGGGTCCGAGGGAGGTGATGATTGTGGCTTCTAAGTATTTTCCTGGGGTTTTGCCATATTTACAGTCTGTCGTTTAAAAGAAATGGAATCTTCCAGTTTTGAAATGCTGTGCTTAGCTGGCTCTGACCTCAGGCCCTGGGCTTTCATCTTGAACTTGGCTGTTTGCTGTCTGATTGGGCTCAGCCTCTGAACTCTGTGTGTGTTTGGGGGGTGGGGGGAGGATATGAGGAAAGCACAAGGCAAAGCTTTGGGGAGCAGAGGAGCCATGCTCCGGAGAGGGGTACTCCCAAGAAGGTCTTAAGTCTGAGTGGTTCTACAGGAGCCGACCGGCCAGAACTGGGAGGTACA